CTTTTATGTTTATTGGATGGTGAGCCATCACTCTTAGCTTTTTTTTTTTTTTTTACTCTTTGGTTGTTCTACTATCCATTATCCTCATTTCAAGTTTACGAGCATAATCAACGACTTTGGAATAACTTTAAAATCTTTGAGGAAACATCGCTATAAAAAATGGATCTATTAATCCACTTATAAACCTTTTCACCCTTTTTGTTTTAGTCGTTATTATTTCTAAAGCATATTGGCTTAGTTTGACAAACCTCCTTTCATACTCCGTCACCGTTATGTCGAAGTTTGCACTAATCTTTCAAATTCATTGGCCCTTTCTTTCTTGATACTTTTTGGTAATTACTCCTCTCAAAAAGCTTCCTTTAACTATCCTCAAGAACAATCATGTCTTCTATCCCATTTGCATCATTCATTAGCATTTCTCTCAAGTATGAATGCTACCGGTTCAACTTTTCTCTCCTCAAGACATCAAAGCACAACCAATCTCTTTTCTATCTCATCAATAAAGTACATTGAGTCCTCGTCATCCTTATTACCCGAATAAGTTAATGGCTTTAGCTTTAAGTATTCTACCACATATGGGTCAAACCCTACTAATCTCATTCAAGTGCTAATTGTAGAAGTACCTGCTTCACCTTGATTGGTAGACATCAATCCCTCCATAGTTTGAAAAGTTTACTAAATACCCTCAACATCATGTCTACAATATGTTGCATAGCACGAAACCTAACATGATATCAACTGACATCATCATATCAAGGTTTTCCTCTTTTTTAACACTAGACCTACCACGTGACCATGAAGATCTAGATAATGCCTTAGCTTGGGCACCTCCTCTATGATCACTCGATCTAGTCTTCATCATATTAACCTAAATAAAATGTAATCCGGGTTTAACATGATTTCAAAGAAATAATTCAAAAGGATAGTATACTTAATGCCTTATTCATATAAATCTTATTTTCTATTTTATTAGGCTTACATGTGCTTAAATGAGACAATGATATTGGGTTTACAAAGAGAAAATAGCAAATCAACATGAGTAAACCCTAACTAAGTGCGAATTTAAGAGCATGAAGAACAAACAAATAAACATAAAAAAATCAAGTTGAAAAAGAGAAGCACTAGGTAGAAGGGAATACACATGGCTTGAAGAACAAATTAATATGTCCGTGTGTGATTTAGTTTAAGAAGTCTCATGAGTAGAAAGAGATAGATATGGCTTGTGCAAGAAAGTAACACATCTGTTTATGTTCTAGCACATAAAGAGACACGAATAGAAGGGTTTAATCATGGTTTGTTTGAAAAATTAACACGCTCTATTGGTAAAAATGGAAGACAAAGGCAAAAACGTCGATATGATTTACTTTGAAAAATTAACACATCCGTGTATGTATTTAACAAGATGAGAGACGTGGGCGAAAGGATGAACATGGTTTGTAGAAGAATTTGAATATGCCCGTGCGTGTTTTAGCTCAAAGGGAGACACAAGTAAAAGGAATTTAACATGATTTATGCAACAAATTAGATACGAATGTCTAGACAATAAAACCGCAATTCGAGAATGAAAGAAAAAAAAGCCACATAGGCGAAACAACTTACATGGATTGAAGGGCAAAAGTGGCATGACTGTGTGTCACCATAAAATTATTCAAAGAAGAAAGAAATGTTACAGAGTAGTAATTAAAGGACATGGTTTGAAGGAAAAATTGACACGGCTATATGTTAATTTAAGTAAGCCATATGAGGAATTTTCACATTATAAAATCTTACTCTTTGTACGTAATACTAGACTATAATCATAATGACTAAAACACACCCTAACATATTGATCCATGTGATTCAAGACAAAAACATGGATTAGAGTAGATACTATGCTCTGTAGTTATCGTAGACTCTAAAACCTATACTCGATAGCAATACTTGTCATGACCTCAAGTGTAGGCCATGACCGGCATGAGGATCGAGGGAACCACGAGGCCAACCTTGACCTAAGCAAGCCTTCGATACCTAAACTTAAATCCTCAATTATCATTTCATTTCATATTATCCTAAATTAATAACCATTCTATAACATCAATATAATTGATAATACCATGTTATTCATAATCAATTCTTAACATAATATTATCTTGTATTTCTTAAAATCAACATTCATAATTACTCTCTAATATAACACCCACGAGATATAACTATATAAGCTTTTAAAAATATAATAAATCAAATATACATAAGTTTTAAAGAATTACAATTAAGTTAAATTGCACGATCAATGTGTCGATTCAAGCAAGCAACTACAAAAAGCAATAAGTAATCCCTCGGTATCATGCAAGGTTGAAATAATGAGGGGTGGGCAATTAACACCTCAATGAGTAAACTTTATATAACATGCTAAAGGAGAGAAATATATTAGGAACGATACTTTCAAATCCATGTCAAAATGTAATGTTAATTTTCCAATACAATTCGTATTATAAAACCGAATTATATATCACAAATTCAAATGGTTCAAAACTATTTCGTATCAACTCATCAAATCATACACATATATACATATCATAATCATATCAAACACACATATATCGGTTTTTATACACCCATGGGATAATAACGAATCATTGGGTGCAAACACCCAAAGGTCATGCCTCCCATGACTAAGTTTCCATATGTTGGCCAACACGAGGGCTAACACCACACCTCTCTTACTAGTTGAAGCTTTATATCATTGAGATCAAAGGCTACCCCTTCGATAGCTAAGTTCCCCAAGGTCTCGAAAATATTTTCAAAAACCAAACATATTTATACATTTTTCAAATCGATATTTCAAATACCATACATGTATTTTTGAAAAATATAAATATATTCAAATAGTGAATATATCATAGTCATTTAAATTTGAAATCACATATCAGTTTTGATAACACATTGAAATCTCTTTTTTCATTCATATCGAATCATTTTGATATGAAAACATTTCAAATGTTATGAATTCCATTCTCATTTAAGTTATACTAAAATGCTTCTAAATCATTCTTAAACAATGATTCATGATGAACAAATTAAGAAATTTCAAACATAATACACTATATAATATCCACTTATAGTAGAAATAGAGAATCGAACGAAATCTAGGTGGTTATAAAGGAATCGCTCGCTTCGAAGAATTTAGCAACACATAATGGTAAACTAGCCATCAATATCATATCTCAAGAAATAATTAAAAAAGATGAATTATTCTAAAAATAAGCATATAAGATTATCAAACGATAACGGAATTGATTAAAAAGACTCGAACCGAAAATCCAACTAAATTTTATAATCCCTCAATTAAATAATCAATTCTATCTTAATTCATTCAATACTCACTCCATTAATCTTTGATTGCATTTACATAGCTTAATTCCTTATTTTCCTTAATTTCTTTCTAATTAAAACCTAAATTTTGGATTTGTCGCTCTTCATCATCTTCAATCTCTTAATTTCTCAAATTCACTCAATTTTACTTCAAATTAACTTCTTAATTCACTTACCTAAGATAATTAAACATCATTCAAATAATTATAATAACCTAGAATCACTTTTCTCCAAACGGGTCTCAAAACCCTAACCTTATTTTAATCAATTCTCTAAGCAATTCACAACCTAAAGCAACTCCAATTCAATATCTTCATTAACTCGCTTACAAGCATCACAATTCAAGGATCAATTGACCATAAATCTTACCTTTAGGTACTTATCCTTAAATCCCTAATTTCTTCCTAGTTCTCTAAGCTTTCCAAGCTTTAAGCTAGCTAAGCTCTACTTGAATCCTCTTACTTATAGTCTTCCTAAGCTAATTGAACAATGGATTAGCTTAGGAATTGAAGAGAAAGTTGGGAGAAGTCTTGGGAGAGAAATCACATGAAAGAGGAAAAATCTAAAAAAGCATACGAGTTACTACTCTTTTCATACCAGCTTTTTTTTTTTTTTACAAATGATGATCAAAGAGAGATTAGAAATTTAGAAATATATAGCAACATTGCTTTTATGGATGCAAATTATTAATTGTTATTGTTAATAAACCTATTTTTGTAAGATTTATGCGAAGAGTGAGGGAAACCACACACAGCAAGCAACTAATAGTTTCCCGATAATTAGAGGATCATGAGGGGCAAGTTTCTTAATTATAGTGATTTTATTTACAAACAAAGTTTGACATTTTTTCTTTTAATGAAAAAACTCCATTAGAGTCAAACGATTTCATTGATCAATTTATAAAATGTGTTGTCTTTTCCTTTTCTTCCTAAAAATTAATGATAAATATGAAGAGAATATAACAAGAAAAAAAATTCAAATATATTCATAAATAATTAAATCATGATTTTTGAAATAGAATTCACGTTTCATTAATATAAAAATCCATGTACATTCTAAAAGTTTTTTATTTTCATATTTTTCTTAATATTTAAGATTAATCTACGTTTGCAAAAAAAAAAAAAATGCAAGTAAAACTAATTTAATTAATGCATGGTGGCCAACTAGTTATTAATTATTATTATTATTATTATAGATGGCAATTTAAACTGTCTTTTTCATTGTCCACGGAAGCATTGATAAAATTGTCGAATCTGTTTAAATGTTAATTATGAAGTTAGAAGTTGAATAATTAAGAGCGTGTATATATATATATATATATATATATAGAAACCCTCTAGTGACATGAATAATAGATATTAGGTAGATATTTGGAATAATAGGATTTATTGGGCCCATAGAATAAAGGCCAGACACATCGGAAGCCCAGGCCTTAAAAAAATGCAGTGATAAAGAAAATAGCATCATCAAGTTAGGGCTTTGAAATCTGAGAGCGAGCGCTTCTTCCTCCTCTTTTATATACTACACATTACTAGTACTTTCTCATTTCACTGTATCCTACCTTCTTTCCTTCTCGCCTCTCTAAAATTAATTACGATTTGTTAGATTTCTCAGTTGCAGAATTGAGAGGTTGAAGTAAAGAGAGAGATATGGCGTTAGCGTTCGATGAATTCGGAAGACCCTTCGTAATTATAAAAGAACAAGACCAGAAGGTTCGATTGAGAGGTCTCGATGCGCAGAAAGCCAACATTGCTGCTGGTATGGCCGTCTCTCGTATCCTTCGAACCTCTCTAGGTCCCAAAGGCATGGACAAGATGCTCCAGAGCCCCGACGGCGACGTCACCATCAGTCAGTACCCTCCACTCTCTTTCAAATAAAAAATAAAAAATAAAAATATCATTTCCCGTCACTGGTTTAGGGTTTTTAAAGTTCGAATTTACTTTGATTTTATTTTATTAGGGTTTAGGGTTTGTGATTTACTACTTGTGCATATGGATCTGTGAAATTAAATTTATGTTTGTTTCTTCCTTCCTTTTTTTGTTTTGGTAGCAAATGATGGTGCTACGATATTGGAGCAAATGGACGTGGACAATCAGATTGCGAAACTGTTGGTTGAGCTTTCGCGGAGTCAGGATTATGAAATCGGTGATGGGACTACTGGTGTTGTTGTTTTGGCTGGTGCTCTTTTAGAGCAGGCTCAGAAGCAGTTGGAGCGCGGGATTCATCCCATTCGCGTTGCGGAGGGTTATGAGACAGCTTCGAGAATTGCTGTTGAACATTTGGAGAAGATAGCTCAGAAGTTTGATTTTGGAGTTAATAATATTGAGCCCTTGGTTCAAACTTGCATGACTACTTTATCCTCCAAGATGTAAGTTTGCTTCTGCTCTGTTTATATCCTTTCAAACTTCAGTCCACAAGTATGTTTGGGAATTGTTTTTTGGGCACAGCTCTAAGTGCCTAAAGCATCTGTTATGGACTGTATGGAAATGGTAAACCAAAGTCATAATAGCAGGTTATGCACGTGTTAACATAAGCCAAGAGTAGCTATTTTTAGTATGCAGATGTAGTGCCATGACTGTTCAGATGATTCATAAATATCCCTAATTTTGTACAAAGAGTAACTTTGATTTACATAAATCTTCATAGCTATTGATACCTATTTATGTTTCCAATTTCCTTAATTCTTCTAAGCTGTTTTTATGTTTTCTTCCCTCATGTATGTGTATGGGGAAATTTCATATCTGAGCTTAGGGTGTTTTGACTTTGAGTCTTCATTGGGGTTTTGAGTATTGTTATCAAAGTAATGATTTGAAAGATGAGTGTGCAGCTGTGCATTAGCTAGAGTTTGGAGCAGTTAGATCGTGCGTTTTGCGACCCAATTTTGCATCCTGGGAACCACCATTCTCCATTGGAGGTGGTTTGACTTGAAATTTTGGGATGCTAGGAAGATTAGTAATAGCTGGGGACGTTGACTGCTAGTCACATGCTACATACTCTGATTATTGCATATCTCTTTGTTTTGCAGTGTGAATCGGTGCAAGCGCAGTTTAGCAGAGATTGCGGTTAAAGCAGTTCTTGCTGTTGCAGATTTAGAGAGGAAAGATGTTAATTTAGATTTGATAAAGGTTGATGGGAAAGTAGGAGGCAAGTTGGAAGATACTGAACTAATATATGGGATAGTTGTTGACAAGGAAATGAGTCATCCACAGATGCCGAAGCAAATTGAAGATGCAAAAATTGCTATCTTGACATGTCCCTTTGAACCACCTAAGCCAAAGACTAAACATAAGGTGGACATTGATACAGTTGAAAAGTTTCAAACTTTGCGTAAGCAAGAGCAGCAGTACTTTGATGACATGGTTCAGAAATGCAAGGTGGGTTGTACATTGTTTCACCAGTAAAAATTATTTGACTGACGAATTGTATAAACATATCTCTCTTAATAGACGTCAAACTTCTGTGCTTTCCCATCTCTGCTATATTTGTTGTTGTGTCAAAGCATTCCCTTTCTTTCTCTGGTTTCACCAATTTCTTGACTGTTCTTCTATTTTCACCTGGCTGGTATTTAGGTTGTATGAGGTTTTCGATGGTGCATATGTTTTTGGTGGGTTGCTTTTGGAATTGCTAGGAGAGTGATGCTACTGTGTTTATGTTGCTTATAATTTTTTTTTTAAAAAAAAATTTGATTCACAGGATGTTGGTGCAACCTTGGTTATCTGCCAATGGGGTTTTGATGATGAGGCAAATCATTTATTAATGCACAGGAACTTGCCTGCAGTTCGGTGGGTTGGTGGTGTAGAGTTAGAGCTGATAGCAATAGCAACAGGTTTTTGTCAATTAAGTTTCTCTTTCTCTCTCTTGTTGTTAATATATATGTGGTTATATATTTGGGTGGAGGTGGAGCACTTGAGATATTACTACTATCTGCTATCATTATTTAAGTGATTATTAACAAAATGATGGGTTATTATTTTAGGTGGAAGAATAGTACCAAGGTTCCAGGAGTTGACGTCAGAAAAGCTAGGAAAGGTAAATGTTTCTTATTTATATACCCTTCTCCATTAGGGAAAAAGTGGCCGGATGTAGTAGCATCATATCCTTTTGTGTTCTCAAACCTGGTTCTAGCTTTAAAGGAAAAAAAAAAAAAGACTAAACTATAAGTATTTTAGTTGAGTTGGGTTTTTTAGAACTACACTCTTTAAAGGCTTGCAAATCAATTTTAAAGATCCCTGCATTTTAGTGACTTAACTCTATTGATTCATGCAGTTGCTTCTTTTTATACGTTTCATTCATGTAGTAGAAGTGACACTGATGAGTTATTCTTTCTTCTTCTTTTACTATTTTATGTGTGAAGGCTGGTTTGGTTCGAGAAAAGGGTTTTGGCACAACAAAAGATAAAATGCTGTATGTTGAACACTGTGCAAATTCAAGGGCTGTAACCATATTTATTCGTGGAGGTAAGATTTATATTATCCATTTAAAATCTTTATTGCAATTGATTTTTTTGGTTTGTTATATTTGGCAATTAACAATATGCATTTAATTCTTCCAAACTATAACTGTAATTACCCCAAGGCTTTTGCATTCATGTTTTCATTCCCAGTAAATGGGTGGCAACCCTGGTGCCTTTAGTATATCTTCTCTTTTGCTTATTGGAAAAGGAGTTTCTTTTGCATTGTAGAATCACCACTTAAGCTGGATACATGCAAGGCATGATGAGTATTTGTATTGACATCAACTGGTTTGCTATGTATGAAGTTTAAACCCCTTTATGCTATTTATGTGTTTGATGCTTGCAGTCCACTCCTGCATTATGTGCCTACTTCCATATGGGATCTTGTATACAAGTATGAAAAGCACAATAGAGATAACCTCAAAATCTACAATAGACTTGTATGGAGAGATTGTACTGCCTTGCTTAGATGGCTCTGTTTATATAATACCACTCTGAAACTACTGTGCCAGCTCACTAACATCTAATTAACTTTCTTTTCTAGCAGAGAAAAGAACTAGTTGAAAGAGCTCTTCGTAAGTGAAGCTTTCATGTCAGATTTTGTCAATGCCTCAATGTAGCATGTTGAACACATATTTTCTGGTTTTCCTTGCTTGTCATACTGTTTTGATGCATTTCATTGCCATCATAATAGCATTGCTTAGCTATTATTATTACATTCAACTAAAGAAAGCAAAGCATCAGTTTGCTCTTCTGATCCGTTTTGGAAAAAAAAAAAAAAGGGGGGGGGGGTGTGTGTAGTTGATCTCATGCAAGGTTCTGGTGCTTTGTGATTGCTAGGTAACAAAATGATGATTGAGGAAACAAAGCGTAGCATCCATGATGCATTGTGTGTGGCTAGGAATCTCATTCGCAACAATTCTATTGTATATGGTGGTGGCTCATCTGAGATTTCCTGCTCAATCTCTGTGGAGGCCGCTGCTGATAGATATCCAGGAGTTGAGCAGGTATGCAATTTGTTCTCTTGTTATTTTCCTTTATATATATTTTTTATAATTATTTTTTTTTATACTGATAGTTTTTACTTTCTTTATCTGCAGTATGCCATAAGGGCGTTTGCAGATGCTTTAGATTCCGTCCCCATGGCACTTGCAGAAAATAGTGGCCTCCAGCCCATTGAGACATTATCTGCCGTCAAATCTCAGCAAATTAAGGTAAACATGATATGATCACCTTCAGTGCCGCACACACATCTACCTCCAATTTGTATAGTCTATCACCATCATGGCTGTGATTTTTATTTTTATTTTAAAACTGAATATGCAGGAGAACAATCCGTACTGTGGAATAGATTGCAATGATGCTGGTACAAATGATATGCGTGATCAAAATGTCTTTGAGACTCTTATTGGAAAGCAGCAGCAGATTTTGCTTGCAACACAAGTTGTCAAAATGATACTAAAAATCGATGATGTCATCTCCCCTTCCGAGTACTGATCTTGTAAGGTCTTGTTAAGTCACACTGCTTAACCATCAACTGAAGCCATATTGTTTTGTTGGCCTGATGTGGCATATTGAGCCCCCCTGAAGACATTCTCAGTTCATGAGAGCTTTCTTTTAGTTACAGATTTTGTATTGCCCATTGGATTTTTTGTTGGGTTTTTTCTTGTGTATTTGAATCATTTGATTATGCGGCTTGTTTTCTTTTATTAGTGACATTACTCGATACCCCCTTTTTAACTGCTTCTGCTTGCTGCATATTTGTTGCAGGATCATTTGATCCAGCTCGTTTTGCTTATTTTGTGTTTCCAATGATTGTGTTCGGTTATTACATCCGTCTACTGCCTCAAGGTCATTTTTCCATCTAACTTTCAATACGATCTTCAGATTCAAATCAAAGTGATGTCTTTAAGGTCTTCACAGCCTATAATGATATTGATAGAAGTACGTGGTGGCTGTTGAGGAAAGCATGTGGTCCGTTATTCAGGGCAGTCAGAAGCATCTGGATTTCGTACTTAGGGTCCTTTATCTAATTATTATGGATCAATAATTGCATTACGCAATTATGTACAAATTCGTTTCTCCTGGTTTATTATTAGGGGATGAATAAGCATCACCTAATTCACAATGTCCCTCGGTTAATTATTCATAATTAGAGTATATCATAGAGTCGCTGTTGAAAGAGTTTTGAAGGTCCTGTGTGCAAGACGGGAAGTTGGGACGCAACTAAACTCCTGGTGGACCTTCTTGTCTGTTTATAACGTAGATGCAATGTGTCAGACGACTGTCGACGTTATTTCTGCACCCAGGTAAACCTCAATTGTGGGGTTGAGCGTTGGTGCGCAATGTCCATGGTGTCTATGGTCTTGATTTGCTATTTTATTTAAAACCAATAACCCATTTAGCTGTAGGCATTGTGGTGGGAAGTAAAGAGAGAATTCTCGGCTTCCGGATATCGTTGTTTTCGTGGCCAGCCTTTTAACCTTTGATGACAAAATTTTGTCCAGTTCTCTATTTCCATGAACTAGAGATTGCTATGTGACGAGAAGACTTAGAAGTATTGCCCCCTTCATCACTTGAATAAGCGTCCCACTAGAGCAGACTCAACAAACAGGGAGAAGATACTCTTTTAACTTTCATCACGCTACATTAAAGGAACTAATCTTGAATTTGTATGCTTTTAATCTATAGAGTTTAGTTAAATGATCCATTGTCAATGAATCTTTTGCACAAGTCATGAACAGGTTCGAATTAGCTCGTTGGATCCATGTTTTGGCTCATCCCCTGGCTTAGGGTGATTCGAAATTTAATGGAGTATATACTTCAACCTTTTATTAGCAGGCATTGTTATGACTTTTGAGGATATAAAGTTCAATCTTTCATGGAAAGAACAAGCTAAGGCACGCCCTGAGCCCAAAGAGCAATCAGGCACCGAAATAAATAAATGAGGCACAAAGAATGAGACACATGATAAACAGAATGACGGAGTATTTATTTCAATCTCTGCCGACCCTATAGTTTCCATTAATGGATAGGATGATGGAGGAATGGGTTTGGTGGGTATCATTTATGGCAACTGGGACTTCGTCAGCATTAATTTTAGAATTATTTGGCAGTTTACTGGGTGGTTGCGTGAATGGTAGGATAAAGAATTACCCCTTCGGAAACAAGATCCAAGCTAAGATGCTTTCATAGTTTTAAATAGCTTTAAATAACGATCGTGGTTGAAAAACGATTATGATCGCAGGTCGCAACTCATCGTGATCGTAAAATAACGATCATGACGTTAATTATATGAATATATTAGTAATTCGTAATAAATTTATTCTAATTCGTATTTTTTGATAGTTTTATTAATTAAATATAATAATAAGTAATCACATCTCTAATAATTTAATAACATATGTCAATAGTTAAATTTATTATAAAAATAATTAATAACACTTTTGATAGATTGATATCACATGAAAAATAATAAAATATATTATAATTTTAGTAATTACAGGAGAAAGAAAGCAAAAGAAGATAAAAAAAATGTCTCTTCTTTCATTAGTAACTACAGGAGAGCGAAAGCAAAAAAGATAAAAAATATTTAGCTGCATTTCAGGTTTTTTTTTCAACAATTTAAATTTTTTATATATAACGTTGTTATATAATGACTAATAACAACATTATATAACAATAATATCGATATCTGTCGTTATAAACGTTTAATACGTTGAGACCCTTGTAACTTCGAAAAATGATAACGAATTGCCTTGTTACCATTGTATAATGCCCGGTAATCGACGTAAGGGTCATTTTTTAAAACGATGGATGCTTTTACAACTTTGCCAAACAGACAAACACGTCGTTGTGATCAGTTTCACTTCCACAAAAAAAGACGGTCCCATTAAATGCAGCTCCGACACATACATTTTTCTTCTTTTTCCCTCTTTCTATGCCACCCATGTGATGTGAGCAGGGGAGGGACTAGGGGGAGAGGGAGAGAGAGAGAGAGATTTGTTTACGACTACAAGGCTATTCATTACTCATCGAAAAGGCACATAGCATGAGCACTGGTTTTCTTTTCTGCACCATCAAGATTCTCATTTAGATTAACAGGCAGCTCTGTGTTTGTTTCCATAAAAAAAAGCAGACAAATTAGTGTAGTACACAATGAGATGGATATGAATCCTAGCTAGCTAGCTTATTCCTTTTCTTTTTCCACCTTTAATTTGCTTGACCTTTATTACTTACTTATACACTCCATGGGCTTCTGTGCAAAGCCACTAATCAGCAACGTGAACCCTTCCTGCAAGCAAGTGAACCTGCTCCTGCTGTGATGGAGCTCACCAGGGAAGATGGTCTTGCACCTAAGCTGGATGCCTTGGCATAACTAGAAGAAGCTCCAGCACCAGATGCCGTGAAGAATGCTCCATTTAACAGCAAATCCCCTTCAGACCTCCAATTCCAATTCTTCCATTGACTTCGTGGTGCATTCTCATGTTTAGTCACCTGAAAAAGTATCCATTTGACACATTTTTATATATGTTAGTATTTATTTTTATATCTATCGATCAATGTGCCATGAAGGGGATATCATATCAGCTGCTTGATCCTTAAAAAATTACCTCTTTGTTAAATCTATCATTGGGAGCAAGAAATCTATTGCCTTGGCTATTAATTGTAGGATCAGCACTGCCACCAATTGCGTACATTGTCCAATGTGTATAGTCATTGTTTACCACGTGAAAATATCCATGTCTACATCTGCAAATTAATTAAAAAAAAAAAAAGGGATCAGAAATCAGAAACCATGGCAAAATATCGATCTAGCTAGCTGTTAATACTAATTACTTGAAGCTTCTAGATTTAGATTTCATTTATATACCTTGGCATTCTCTGCACAAGCCCTTCTCCAAAGCGGTTGAAGGCAATGGTGACTTGCATGTTCTTGTCTTGTTCATAGCTATCACTATGGCCTAAGAGCATGACCTTGTTATGACGAGTCAAGTAATTGTTTGAGATTGTTATGGCTGTGGATCCATGAATTGCATCAATCAACCCATCATTGCAATTGGATAAAGAGCAATGATCCACCCACACATGGCTGCCTCCGAATATCGATACCCCGTCGCCGTCCGATATAGTCCTCCACCCGTAATGACTAGGGCTATCTCTCACATAAGCATTCCCTCCTTGCTTACAATCATGAATATTTATGCCATGAATTATAATGTTGGTCACATATTGTATAGTGATGCATGGACCACCAGCAATGTGCACATTAACTCCTCTTCCATCGATCGTCTTGAAAGAGTTCATGATCAGCTCTTCCTTAAGCTTGATCACCATGTCACGAGAGAAAATGATCCATAGAGGCTCATCTTGTATAACAGCATGCCTAAGGGTGCCTGGCCTGGGATTCACAGGGTCATCATGACCGGGGTCTGTCACTACATATATCTTACCATCTCTGCCACCGATGGCATGCTTACCGAACCCAATGGCACAATCGGCTAATCTTTTCCGATTCTTCTCCCATCCGGGGTCACACCGCCAGCAATCGTCTATGGGATTGCCGGTTCCACAAGAAAGAAAGCCCAAGTTTCTTCTAGAGGCATTGATGCTCCTGAAACAGATAGAAAATAAAAACGTGTCTCGTTAATTTCCAAGCTAGCAGCATTTACATATAGTAATGTTCAATAGCTAGCTAGCTAGTGCTCAATTTTCAAAGGGCTAAAGCATATATTACCTGTGTACTTCTTCCACTACCAATTCAGGATCTTGAACTGGCGAACAGGAAATAAAATTTGGGGCTAAAACAAGCAGGAGTATTGAAAGAGAGAGTGGAATTGCCATTAATTACTCTTTCTATTTTGTTCAGATACAAGGATATGGGCACAGAAAATTTGTGAGAAACTATAGGGAATGCAATGGATATATAAAGGGCATAAACAGGGGTAAAAGAGCTCATTGTGGACCCAAACTTTTATTTTATTTTATTTTAGGTTAAAGTCCCAAGATGTTTTGGTTATGTTAGTTTTAGCGGTTAAGCAATCTCTCTCTCTCTCTCTCTCTCTCTCTCTCTATGTGAATGTCATTACCCATGGATTAAATAGAAGAACATAGATTTGGGCTGACAAACCACTTGAGCAAGATGACTTAACACATTAACTGGAAAACATTTTGGGAGCACCTGTTGTTCCAATCCTGCACTTGTAATAATATATACTTTATTTTTAAAAAAATCTAGCTTTATAAATATTAGTTGTTATATAAAAAATATATTTGTAACATGGATTATTTTTCTTCAAACCTTAAAATAAAAAAAATGGTCTATATATATCCTTCTAATATAGATGACCTGTTTAATTTATGTCAGATTTTTTATTTTTTTTTTTTTTGAGGTGTACAAAGATCGAAAGGATACCTTCTAGCAGTAAAAAGAAATTTAAAACCCTGCTAATGACGATCTTCAATTAATTTCAAGAATTATTTATCCATTTAAATGCAAAGTTTTCAAAATGTGAGATCATCAAATCCCCTCGCAACACAAATAAGCTAATAGTACCTTTTCTTCTTTTCCTTTCGTGATCATGGGTGAGACAAGATGAATATGAATCCTGAACTTAATTCTGAAACCATATATAGAAGGGCCGAAAGAAAACCAATAAGTGTCGAGAATAATTAAAAGGCCACGATCATCAAAGGAATCTATGATTGATAAACGATGAAATGGAATCTGCCATTACCGGCTAAGCAGAGCTATTAATATCATAGCCTAAAAGCAATTCTAGCTAGGCAGTGTAATAAGGATGAAACAAAATGTTAAAATGATTAAATGGGTATCTTTCCAATCTAATCATCTTTGATTTGAACATTAATTCAACACTAACTTTACACCGACACTTTTCTACTTCATGTTTCCCAACCCCGTCGGTGTTCCTGTTGATATTGAAGGCACCCCTTTTTTTTCTCCAACACACTTGACTTTCTGTCAGCAATTTTATTTCTATTTTTATTCTTTTGGTGATATGTAATTCTACTCAGCTGCATTTATTTGATGCCGGTAGAGCAGCTCGTGGTTAATTTTCCATCCGACAAGGTCTCGGTTTTTCCTTTCAAAAGTTTGTGATTTAATGTTATATTATTACGAAGTTTTTATAACCTTGTAGATTGGTCTATGTTTGATGATATCGATAGGATTGTAGCAACACCGTAACGATGATATCATATTGGAATGAATGAATATTGATGAGAGGAATATTAGAGTTATGCTTGATAATTAAGGAGTTAAAAAATGCTGAGATTAAAGTAAATGATAATTAATGTTTAGAATATTTGGTTGTAGCTAAAAATTATATATGTACGTACCTAATGTGAAATAGATTCAGCCACCTCCTGCTCAAGTTCAAAACAGTCCCTTGACTTTTTATCCACCCTCCCCTTTCTTAATATAAAATTCTTAGTTCAACCATTAGGACATGCCTACATGTGCCATTTAATCTGACTTTTTTTTTTTTTCAGGGTTGTGTGAAAGAGCCTAAACAGAGTATATATATATTGTGTGTGTATCTTTATGATTTTATAAAAAAAAAAAAAAGAATTTAATGTATTTAAAATTTTATTATCAAGTATAACTAATTCAGTTTGAATTTCACTTAAGTTTAATTTAATTAGATTCATTAATGTGTCAAATAAGCTTCAACTTTTTAATTGTATTTATCGATAAATCACTAGATGATTTCTTTTTCTTCTTCATCTTTTTTCATAAAGGAAAAATCAAGCATGCACAAATAATAATAATAATAATAAGTTAAAAACGAAACTCGTTATGCCATAAATAAGGTTGGCAATTTTGAATAATATATTTCATTAGTATAGATAAGAGAGATGGCTTATAAGGACTGGTCAATATTAATTCCATATAATTCGAAAAACTGAATCAGACTGACCATCTTTTTTCTTTTTGTTTCTTTATTAGGTTTTGTTTTTTTTAAAAAAAAAAAATTGAATCGTACTTTTTTATATAAAAAATTATTGTTTGTACGGTTTTGTCCTAGGTCTCCAAAAACAAAATATATTTTTCTTTAATAAACACTTGTACTTTTTTTAATCATACAAACAATTGTACTTAATAATGTTTTGATTAGAAATACGTGCAAGCCCCGCTCAAAATATACTATCTTACTTTGACTTTTTTTTTTACTTCGAATTTTTTCATACTGCCTCCTGCCCTTTATTTATTTTCTGTAGCTCCGTCCCTATTTGCATGGTTTTTCTTCGTCTTTTTATAATATGATTTTAAAACTACATTTGAATATATAAATTTTATATGGTTAATTAGCATTTTTTTTTCATTTTTGTTCTGGTTTTATGTGACTACAAAAGTCAGTTGATCGTTCTGTAAATATGAACAAAAAAATTTAGTTCCAAAAAAAAAAAAAAAAAAAAACGAAATGAACACGCCAATCTTAATTACAACATGAATATAAATATTATGGACCGCAACCCTATTCCTTAATTTTAGAAAACGAGCTTGACCAAAAAGCTTATATCTAGCCAATTTGAATAATTTATATACCACTCAATTCTTTCTTTTGCCCTACTTATCATTAATTTGATTAATTATTGTTATTATTTTAGTTGGTTTGCTTTTAAAATTTCAACAAGTTTATTGGGCCATTTGCGCTAGAACCGCTACCAATATTGACTCAATAACGTATTAAAGTTATTGAATAGAAGTATATATATTTGACCAAAGAAGTAGTAATATATATATATCATCACGATAATAGAACTATTTTCACAATCAAATAGTCAATGCACATTGAATTTAAAAAATAAAACTATTTTTTTATACATTTAGTTTGAGGGAGAGGATTCCAATTTACAATTTCCATTATAAAAAATCAATTATGCCTGGTTTGTGTTCATTAATCCTGCATATTGTGCGTTAACTTTGGCCTTTATTGAAAAAAACTAGGAGTATAAATTATCCACATTATGCTAATTTGGTTATATAATATTTTTTTTTTTAAGGAAATGCGGTTGTAAACGTTCTCGTTTAATTTGGAGGAAATGATATAAAGTTATATATTGATATAAATACTTTAACAAAATAATAATAATAATGATAATAATAATAATAATAATGTTGTGATACTCATAATCACTCGTCTATTTTTAAGTAAAAAAGAAAAGGATTTTGATGCAATACACATTTATCTTTTTTTTTTTTTCAAAATCAATGAATGAACAAGTAGTAAGAAAAAAAACCAGATTGTTATTTAGAAAGTAGTAGGAGAATATAATTTTTTTTAAAAAAAAAGGTCGGAATCCAAGTCTTGTACATACATATTAATTATTCCAATTACATCGAAGCATGCACATGCTGCTAACATGGAAATACTTAAACTGATTTATCTTTGCTTCCCTTCCACTCCAACATTATTGTATTATAAATAAATATTTGTTCTATAAATTCCTAAAAGTCTTTGTGGCTATACCTTTAGTATGAGGATCATCTTTGAATTCATTAGAGAGAAAAGGGAAGGGAAAGGAAGAGAAGGAAAGCAGCTTAATAGTTGGGTTTGAAAATCATGGAAGCTTCACATGGCAAAGTCCGTACTATCCGTCAAGCAGCCATACCTTTTCCTTCGCTTCTTTATATATCTATATTATCATATCTTGGGAACCATTGCACGTTCTCCCATGTGAGTTTTGTCCCCTTTTATTCTTTTCCCACTCGCTCCTACTGCCATCTCTAAGTCCTACCCTTTGAGCTTCATCTTTTTTCTTATTAACAAATCGATTACTTCTGTTTTTTTTTTTTTTAATGTCAAAATCAAATGTCTTCGAATGTTTGGCTTTTTTTAAAAAAAAAACTAGCTGCATCTGTGGAGGTTTGAGTAAATCATAAATTATTTCCTCTGTTTTGATGAACAAATTAATTACTGTTTTCGTTTTACAAGCTAATTATTTAATATTTTTATTATTAAGTCTTTGACAGATGTCTTAAATAAACACCTGATATTTAAAATATCATTTAAAATAGGTACTCATTCATAAAGATATATGTTGGTACTTAAAGAGAGACAAAAGGAGTTGAAATTAATAAAATTAGAAGTAGAGGTACATACGAGGAGAGATGACTGGAGGGGAGAAATGAAGTTTTGTTTTGGTACTTAAGAAGGAAAAAGTAAAGAAGATGTGTGTGTGAATGAGAGAAATAATGCAAAAAAAAAAAAAAGAAAATTTGAAAAAAAAATAACGAAACGATTAACTTATTAACAGAATTAAAATATAGAAGGACTAAATGATAAGTTTTTTAAATAAAAAAGGCTAATTAGTTTGTTTCTCAAAATGAGATGAACTAATTTATAATTATTCACTAGAAGTTTTTGAGTTTTGATCTTAGATGTAGAATATAGATGTCATAGTTTAATTTGTTTTTATATAATATGATAATTTTTTAATCTATTATCATATTTGAATTGAGCCAATTTTATCATTAAAGATATAATAAATTTTTAATCTATCATTTTGACAAGATTTTCAAATCAAACTATCGAAATTAATAATGTGATTTGCATCCGACTATTTTTTATTTTTAAAATGTTTTTGCAAGTCGGAAAAATAAAAGATTGTTATGTGCAAATCACGTGACTAATTTTGATAGTTTAATTTGAAAATATTATCAAAAAATATATTAGAAACTTAATATATATTTAAGGATAAATTTCAATCAATTAGAAATATAAGAATTATCTTATTATATAAAGATAAATTGAACTATTACCTCTAAAATAAATTAATTTAAGGAATAATTACACTACAAGTATACAAATTTTTAATTT